CTACACACTACTACATCAATATCGCACGCATACATACTCACAAATTGTCGGTAAAACAGCGGATTTTTGGAGTTTGATCTAGGGTTTAGGATCCTCTTAATATGATATCAGAAAATGACGTCCGGTGGATGTGACATATTGACGTCATTTTCAGATCTTTGACGATCAATTTAGGTCCAAATGTCCAATTTATAACGTCGCATTGATCATTTCATGACCAAAATTTGTCGCCGTTTTGACGTCATTTTTTTCGCAGGGCATCATAGATGATACCTTCTCATTGCAAATTAATCAAGACGTAAATAAAATAAAAAAGACATTGACCCCCAATGTTAAAACGGCTAAATCTAGCGACGTGAAACTGCGACGGCCTAATACATTTAATGTGTCGCAAGCAGAATGCTCGAATAATACGAGTGCAAATGTTAACAAGCATAAGTAATACAGAAATTACACATAGTTCTATTAATAATACTCAAGATAGACATGTATCTGCTCAACATGATAATGATAATGTATCTCAAAGTAAAATAGCAGACCAACCAGTAGCAAATGATACAAATACTAAAGAGTCTTCTCAACAACATCGATTTTGCAGATATAATAAATACTAACTAGTACTGATCGATCAAGAAAAATTAACGGAAATAAAATTGTTGCTTAAGAAACAAAACTTGATAACTTGATAACATAACTTGATAATAGATTGATAGAATATAAGGTAACGTTTTCGCAAATATAACATAATTAATGGAAATAAAATTGTTGCTTAAAAAACAAAACTTGATAATAGATTGATAGTAGACTGAAATTATAAAATGAAAAGAGTCAATCAAATAATCAAATATGTAACTGTCACTGTTTACAAACTTTTATAAAGACACGAGACCATGTGTTTTATGAGCGTGGCACGAACGTCTCTGGCAACTCGATTTCATAAACGCCGTTCTCGGGGCATTTCACAATTTTAATTTTAACGATTGAATTTGGTGTTAACTCATCTAATTTTTTTTGTATTGCTTCCGAATATTGCCCATTTCTTACCGGTCCTAAATCTGTAACGAGGAACAAGATAAGTTTGAATATGAAAATTATTGTATCCTTTTAACTTACACAGACAACTTTGATACTTATACTGACAATTGTACACACATTCGCCAATGCTGCATGTAGAATGAAGTCTTTGGGCATTAATCCTGATGCTTTACTGACTCAATGTTACCATAATCAATAAAGAGAATTGCAGATGTCATGTTCGATTCTTTAGGATTGAAGCATGTTGCTCGATACCATACCCCTATTAAGCTGGATCCCCCACCATCGCAAATTAAGTTCGGACTTAGTCAAAAATTTAGTGCTATTTTGTTGCTAATTAGTTGCTCTAATCCGAATTTTGTTGCTCCAGCCGTTTAGCAGGAAATCGCGTAAAAAATGG